CCGTCACGGAACCTTTCTGGGATCCCATGTCTTACGATTACATCTTTTAGCCAATCAATGTATTCCAGCTGTATTAATGCAACTAATAATGTTAAAAATTATACCTCCCTTTCTCCCGCCTTTGACTGACCTTCATTACTGTAAAGCAATCAGAATATTGTATTTACTACAATACACCCCACCCCCTTGAGATTCGTGAGTTTCAGATCCTGAGGTTTTGCCATCTCCCATTTAAATTAATACTTGGCTTCAATAAATCTCTTTGATTCTACTTCAACAGAGCTGAAAAGTCTGTTCTTTACAATGATCTTTAGAACTAAGTGCTGCCTCCTGCCAAATGCAAATCTCTCAATTTTAGCCAGATTTTTAGAATTGCTACTTGCCAGGCAGGCTGCTTGAAAAATCTTTTTCTGAGTACCTGGAGTGTTTATTGTCTGTGTTGTTACCAAGAATAAAGGGCTAAAAGAGTTAGGAAAACAGTACATGATACCATTTTGCATTAAAAAAAAAAAGTTTCTATCAGTATAGAAAAAAGATCTGGAACACAGGATGTTTATAACATTTATAGTGTTATTAGTAGGTGGTGAGATTACCAGTAATTTCTCATTTTGGCTTATCTGTGTTTTCTTCCAATAATCATAAGGACCTGCATAATTTTTTAAAATGATAAAAATAATAACAGCCCTCTAACTTATTCACTATCTGAAGTAAGGCCATTATCTAGGCTCAAGGATGTTGATAACAAACATCTCTGAGTTTATGGTTTTTCTTATTCACAAAACCAAATATTAACCATAAAAAGTCTGACCCAAACTGCAAAAGCCTGCCTGAAACTGTTCTACAGCAAAGTACATTTCTTATCCTTCTAGAAAAGGACAGTAGTCAAACCATCACCTCCTAATTTAAATCTCAAATAGTCTCATGGCTGCAGGTAGGTGGAGGGCCAAATTATTACAGCCAGGCCAGAAGTAACCGGAAATCAGTTGATCTCAGTAAAGGTGAGGCAGGTTCAATCAATCACGTTAACATTAGCCAGTGGTTGATCTTCTGTTCTCCCTCTTCTTCTCTTTATAAATTTCACTGTAACTAGCAATCAGAGAGCCATTTGATTTTTTTGGAACCAGAATGATCGCCCTACATGCATATAGAATAACTGCTCAGAAAAAAACTTATGTTTCGATTTAAGTTTTGATTAATTTTTAACAGGGGTGAGGCTCTGCAGGTTTTTATTGGGAGCCCAACTCCCATCAGTGGCTCTGACCCTTTGGTCTTATCCTTGTCGATTACAAGCAAGCATGTAACTTCTGAAGAAAAGAGATGAGAAACTTATTCTCAACATGAATTAGCCAGACTGAAGCACTCAAATTCCAATATTCCATCTTTAAATGGCCTTCATTCCTTCCTACCCAGAATAGGCAAGCAACTTTCCACTCCAGGCTGTGTGGTTTCTTCAGAAGAGAACGGACTTTGGCTGTAGCCACCATAACAAGACAATAAAAAATCAGACTTCTCATTCACAATCAAACCTGTTTTGTTAGAGGGACTAAATCTGTTCATGAAAGGTCATTTCCGTAATCCCTCAGCCCATTTCTGGATCTAATAATATATAAACACTCTAACTGGAGCCCTAAGGTGCTGTGAAAGAAAAAAAAAAAAAAATTAGTAACAGACATCCTACTTTGATTTTAAGTGGTTTTTCTTACTCAGGATGCCAAAAAGGCCTGACTCAGACTGCAAAAGTATTGACTTGTTTCTTTTCCCAGAAACTGCTCTGCAGCATTGTAAATCTGTCTTATTTTGGCTAGAAAAGGATAGTCAATAACAACAGTAATAGCAACTCCTGATTTAATGAAAATTACCATGAATTTACTCAATTTTAATTTCAAGAGGTCTCATAGCTACAAATGAGTAAAGAGCCAAATTTTCAGGGGCTACTTTTTAATGTAACTCAATAACCATAAGTACTTGGCCACCATGAAAACTTGTATTCATTGAAAAAAAATTTTAAGCTTCTGTGAAAGCTGGAGTCCTTGGGAGCATTCCTTTTCATCTTCTAAACCATACAGGGAAACTTTTACTCCTCCAATCTATAAACTGTTTATTAAATTACGAAACAAATACTGTTGTTTTAAGCTAATTCATCAAAGGCTTTTTTTTTTTTTTTGAACAGCTTTAACTAGCCTACTTTGAGCAACTTGTTTATAGGAATGAAACGATCTCCCGGCATGCATACAGAATGACTGCTTGGACTAAACCTTATGTTTTAACTTCTTTGTGTTTTGATTATTTTTAACAGTGCCCTAGTCCAACTCCAGGGACACGCCCTTGAACGCGTGGTCATAGATAAACCCTTGTCCTCTGCTCCATTGACAATAAAAATGATGTTGGCAATCACAGATCCTTCCTTAGCAGGAATACCAAGGATGACCTGGGGGAAGCCACTGCCTCTTGGCTGGTTTCTCTGGCAAAGTAGTCTCAAGCCCTTCTTGTAATAACCTGTTTTAGCCATCTTGTGCCACTTCTTTCTGTGTTGCCTTGCATACTAAATATGAAGAGGCCCAGTGGGTATTCTAACAAATCTATCCTCACTACCATCTCTATCTTAAAAATAACAACGCACCAAAATATGTTTCAGTATATCACCTCATATGGATGTGAAAGGTGGACAATGAATAAGTAAGACCAAAGAATTGATGCCTTTGAATTATGGTGTTGGTGAAGAATAGTGAATATATCATGGACTGCCAAAAGAATGAACAAATCTGTTTGAAAGAAGCACAGCCAGAATATTCCTTAGAAGCAAGGATTTAAGACTTTGTCTCACATACTTTGGACATGTTATCAGGAGGGATCAATCCCTGGAGAAGGATATCATGCTTGGCAAAACAGTGGGTCAGTGAAAAAGAGGAAGACCCTCAACAAGATGTACTGACACAGTGGCTGCAACAATGGCTCAAGCATAACAATGAGATCAACTGCTTTTCCAAACATTCTGTTGTTGTTATTAGGTGCCATCGAGGTGGTTTCGACTCACAGCGACCCTATGTACAACAGAACAAAACACTGCCTGGTCCTGCCCCATTCTCACAACTGTTGTTATACTTGAGTCCATCGTTGCAGCCACTGTGTCAGTTCATCTCGTAGAGAGTCTTCCTCTTTTTCACTGACCATCTATCTCACTCTTAGCAACGATTAAATATATCTTAATGCCCTACAAAAACACTCTGAAATATCAACAGTGATACACTGCAAATCAAGTCTTTGCAAACTGACTTCAGGCCTGCACCTGTCCTTTCCTCCTCTTTTTCACTCTACCTCATTGTCGCTGTTGGCTGCCACAGAGTTGGCCCTGATGCATGGCAACCCCACGCACAATGGGATCGAACCGTGGTGATTTCGCTGGCTGATTTTCAGAAGTAGATCATCAGGCCTTTCTTCTCATCTGTCTTAGTGGGGATGCTCTGCTGAAGCCTGCTCAGCATCGCAGCAACACACTGACAGGTGCTGGCTATGCCTGAGGTGCACTGGCCTGGAAAGGAACTTGGGTCTCCTGCACGGAAGGCAAGAATTCTACCACTGACCAACCACTGCCCCTCACTCTAGTATAACACGAAGAACAAGATTTTCCACAGTAAAGAGCAAAAATAACTGGCAGCAGTGGGCTGCCCAAGACTATGATATGCCTACGAAACTGAACCCTACCATTGATATTGCAGAAACATACTATTTACTGACTTGGAAAGCTGTTTCTGAGTGAAAAACTTACATTTATGAATCAATCAGGAAAGCCACAAAATTGCACGTGTAATAACTTTTTTTTTAATGTGTATGTACATTTGTTTTGTGTGCCGTCCAGTTGATTCAGACTCATAGAAACCCTACAGGACAGAGCGGAACCGCTCCACAGGGTTTCCTAGGCTGTAATCTTTCACTGGAGCAGATCACCAGGTCTTTTCTCCCGAGGAGCCGCTAGTGGGTTAAAACCAATAACCCTCGGATTAACTGACAAACGCGTAACCATTGCAGCTACCAGGGCTCTCTTGTAAATTCAGGAAGAGAAAAAGATCTGAAAGGACTTTCACCTACATTCTAAGACGGTTAAGAAAAATGGGACCTATCAGTGAATTTTCTTTAGCGTATTTTGAATTTTTCTACTGCAAACATAAATTTTTGCAAAATTCAAAAATAAGTAACATTTACTTAAACAATCTCGGTGAACTTTAACCAAGTAGAGATCTTTGGAGGAAGGCGTGGGAACCTCAACGCCAAAGTTTTCCTCTCTGAGGGCATCTTCCTTGAGCCTCCGACTACTCCTTCTTTAGCATGCATCCTAAATGATTTTCTCCTAATCAAGCCTAGCCCCCAAAAAGCCCACAATTCCCTGCAGATTACTGCGCCCATCCCCTTTCTAAGCGTAAGACTGCCCAGGCCTGGTTCCAGCCTCCTTTCCTTCTCTCCGCTGCTGCAAAAAAACAATTAAGGTGGGGCTGGGCGGCGGAGCCGGGTGGAGGACGAGACTCTGCAGCCTTCTCAGAAATACCCGACGAAGAACGGTCCGAAGCACCCCGCCGAGGTTCCAGGGCAGCAGGGGACCTCACAGGGTCAGGCTCCTCGCGGAAGGGCCCTCGGCACGCGGGGAAGGGCCCAGGCCGATCACGGCCCCGATGGCGCGCACTCCCGGCTTCTGCGCGTCCCACTTAGCGGGGCCGCGCTGGGGTGCCTGGGCGGCGGGGGTGCGGCGGGGCCGCAGAGCATCCCCCGAGAGCCGTCCTCTTGGCCACTGGCCAGTGCCTGGGCCGCTGACGGGCTGGGATGCCGGGCCAAGCGCCCTCAGACTAGACTCACACCGTGCACGGCCTGTGCGTCCTCGTGGGGGGCACCGCTGTGCTCCCCCTCCTGGGGCCCCGGGCGCCACGGCCACGGGAGCACCGACAAGGAGGCGCCCGGCTTCCCGGCCACCACCTGGTGCGGCCTGGGGTGGGGGGCGGGGGCGGGCTCACCTTGGGGTCGCGCTCGTAGTAGTGCTGCTGCGTGCGGATCCAGCGGCCCACCAGGTGGTCACGCACTGTGTGCGCTAGCGCAAAGAAGTAGTCCCGGGGCGTGGCCACGTTGCGGTCCTTGACCAGCGTGAAGTGCAGGTGCCGGTTGAAGCTCTTCCGCACTTCGGCCACGTCGCCCAGCCCCGCCAGGCCGCGCACACTGATCTGCTTCCGTCTCTCGCTGTCGGTAAGCGGCTTCGCCATCGCGCAGGCTGAGGACCTGGAGCAGCAAGAGGAGGAGGAAGACGAGAGCAGGGATACAGTACCGTGGATGCTTAAGCGGCTCTGGCGCCCCCGGCTGCCGCGACCGCTGCTCGCACGGACCGCGCCTGCGCACTGCGCCGCTGGCGGGAGGGGGAGGAGCGGTCCCTTTGGGGCGGGGCCTCAGAGGAGAAACGGGTTACCAGCAAGACGAGCGGACGGGGGGGAAGACACCCAAGAGCTGGAATTCGAACCCTACCAGGGCAAGCCGGGCAGGCAGTGAGAGTCGAGAGGGGCAGGAGGATTCCAGATTCCAAGCATGCGGCCCTGGTTACCCTGCAGACACTAGCGCAGTTGGAGAGAGGAACGCTGCCCTTCGGAGGCTTTCAGGCGGGCGTGGCCCCAGCTGGGGTGCCATGGGTGCTGGGGTGGGGCTGAGTCCTGGTAAACGTTAAAGGAAACTGAATGCAAGCTTCAAAGACAGCCTCAAACCCCTGGCGGGCCCAATCTCCTGGGTTGGGTGGGGGGGACCTGAAATAAGCAGCTGAGAAAGTAATATTTAGTTTATACTGAGAAAGTGAAAACGTGCCCTGCATTCATCAGCCTGGGATGGCAGACCTGGTGGAGCCAGCTGCAAAGTCCACCAGAGCCCACATTCTCCAAGGACAGCTGTAGGGTGTCATTAGGACCCCTTCTACGAGTGACTACTGCTTTCTTGCTCACTGGAAACCTTGTTCCCTAAAAGCACAAACTGCCAGACATCTTGCTAGTGGAAATCACATAGGTAAGAACAAAATACCCACTCCTGCCAGGGGGAGCTAAGTCACCTTGACACAGAGAAGCAGCCCCCATTCCAACCCCAGTGCAGAGCTTCAGAGAAGGGGTTTCTGGATGCAACTTCCCACATCTGTCTATAACACTGCAGCTCCCAAGGGAGCAGGACCCAGGTCTACTTGCAGACCAGACCTGATGTTGAGTCAGTGGAAACACTGCTTCAGTTAAATTTCACATTAACTCCACCCTCCTCCCCAAAATCCCATAACACTGCCTTTTCCTCTGTTCTTGAGACACCCCACAGGGTTGCACCGGTGTGCACATTCCCTCACTGCAATGGGTCAATAACCTGATTCCATAAGACCCGCAGGTTTGCTCCTGGTGGTCTTAGCTGACTAAGCGAGGACATTGCTAAGGTTTCCAGATAACACAGAGGTCAAAATTACCGGAACTAGGTGTTGTAAAAGTCCTTTGTCCAGCAACAGTGTGATGTTTCCAAAGTCATCTTACCTGGACCCCTTCCAGCTGCAAACTTCTCAGGGCACAATCAATCTGGAATGCCTCTCCACCCCACCCATACACATACTCCTGGTCAAGCTCTTGGTCTTACTCCTTTTTCCCTTGGGATTGTTAAACCAGCAAGATTGGATTTCAGTAACTTTGAGGGCAGGGCTGTGGGGACTGCTGCAGGTGCTGCCAAGTCTGGCTGGAGGCTCTGCAGTCTGAGAGTGACCTAGCACTTCTTGAGAAGAGTCGTGAAGATAATTGTGCCCTCTGACCAGTCGTAGTACTCTGGGGAAAACATTTCAAGGAAGGATCCAAAAGAGAAATCAAGTTGTACAAAGATGTTTTCCCGTGTCACGCTTAAAACCTGTGAAAGCTTCACACCCTATCAAGTGAACTGGGCAAGGAAGGGGGAGCTGACATCTATTGATCATTATGTGCACTGTACGTATTTTAAGTCATAATGCTCACAAGTAGCCCTTTATTACCCCCACTTTATGGAAGCAGAAGCTGAGCCACAAGGAAGTTTAAACATTTCCTTAAGCTCACACAAGCAGTAAAGGAAACAGCCAAGATTTACCCCACGGCCAAGTCTTGTCCTATTGCACAATTCTCTCCCGATTTCTCCGTACTCAGAGTTAATATCATAAACTGTTGTGCTGCTGGAGCTCTGGTGGCACAATGGTTAAGAGCTCAGCTGCTAACCGAAAGGTCAGCACTTCAAATCCACCAGTGGCTCCTTGGAAACCCTATGGGCCGTTCCACTCTGTTCTATAGGGTCGCTATGAGTCAGAATCAGCTTGACAGCAACAGGTTTTTTTAAAATTTATTGTGCTGCTAAAGGGAATGGCAATTTTAAGAGCTAACTAGGAAGATGTAAAGGACGATAAAATAATGATAAATGAAAAGACAAATAAGGATGTAATGCTGAAATGAGTCGTTTTAAATGTAAAGTATTATACATATAATTATTAAAATCATATTTCATTTTAGTTAATTTACATTTAAATTTAATAACTACGTGTGGCTAGTGGCTACTGTGTTGAGAACACAGGTTTATACCAAATGTAAGCGCTGATTATTTATGAGTGGCAGAATTATCAGGGGTTTCATTTTTCCTTACAGTTGTATTTTCAGTTTTTGTACAATATGTTATAATTAGAACAAGTGTTAGTAAGAAAAATCACAGGCCCCAGGTTCTATTAATGGTTGCTGATTTATGGACTGTGTGTTCTCTTCTTGGAATTGACTTTTAGTTTTCTTTTTCATTCTTGGTTAAATAAATTTTAAAGTCCTTCTACCCATTCTTCATGGCTATTTTCTTTATGAAATTTTCCATGATTCCCCTTATCCACATGTAATTTCTTCCTCTAGAGAACCCTCATGGTCCTTCCCTCCTCCCCATCTTGTGGTATGTCTTGAGTCTTCATAATTGCTGCACTTGAGCAGGGAAAAGCCTTTTCGGTAGTGTGTCTCATTTCCCTTGGCTTAACTTGGAGTGGGTGAATGAACCCCCTGATGATCTCAGCCGTTTCCAAATATATAATTGATAGTTGTCAGTGCTGTGAAGAAAAGTGTGTTGAGTAGCTAGTGACAGGAGATGATATTTGAGCTGAGACAAAAAAAAATGAATCTGGGAGAACAGCAAGTGAAAAGGCCCTGAGGTAAGAACCCACTTGGAAAACATGCAGAACAGAAAGTTCAGTGTTATTGGAGCTTAGTGAGTGAGAAACAAACAGGTAAATTCAGACTGGAGGTGGGGCCAGGCCAAATAGGGCCTGGATCTTATCTTCTAACTACTTTAACAACAAAACTGTAGGGTACCAGGATGGGTAAAACAGCAAGGAAATTTATATAAAGCTGAAAAGCAGATTTCCTCCCAAGAGAAAGGAATGCCAGTTGGGAGGGATAGGGCAGTCTCTCTTAATTCTGTTTTATCAAGACCAGTTTTTAAAAATTCATTTACTAAGAAGTGATGGATGTTGATCTAGGTTTAGTACTGTTGTAGTGAGCTATTTTGTGTTGTTGGAGATATTAAGTCACCTTTAAAAGATGTCTTGTGTGGGGAATGAAACTCTGTGGGAGTTAGAGGAAATTGAATGTGGAAACAGACATTTTTGGTCAGTTATACTTAAGCTAAGGAGCCCTGATGGCTCAGTGGTTAAGTGCCCAGCTGCTAACAGAAAAGTCTGCTGTTTGAACCCACCAGCCGCTCCACGAGAAAAAGATGTGACAGTGCTTCTATAAAGATTACAGCCTTGGAAACCCTATGGTGCAGTTATACCCTGTCCAGTAGGGTCACTATGAATTGGAATTGACTTAAGGGCAGTGGGTTTTGGATTTAAGATACTTGAGGACCTGAAGAGTGTCTCATAGACAGTAAGTGTTGAATAAACATTTCTTCACAGAATGACTTGAAAGTTATTTCCAGTCTTTGGTGCGAATGCACACACCAAAGGTAACAAATCTCTCTGGGATCCTGGCAACTCACCTGGTTGATTTGTGCCTGTTCAATTAAGTGTTTGCAAATGAACACAGACCAGCCTTTCAGGAAACAGGAAGAGATAACAGGTACATTATTCTCGAGAGGTTGGTGATGGTAAACCCTGGTAGAATAAAGACCACCAGCTGCCAACAGTCTTGTGGACTTGGGGCTCTCCCTTCACGGGGGTATATAAACAGATACTCTTAGTTACGTTACTGCATTTTAACACATTGACTTATTAAAAAATCCATGAATCCCTAGCGATACTAAATGTCCTGGGGAGGGAAGGGGAGGGAAGGAAAGCTCTTCTCTGCAGAAGGACACCAGCTGATAGATGCAGGAGAGACAGAATTCGAAAATCACCATTTAGCAAGGATTACTGGATGTGGGAGCTATTAGACAAAGGCTGCAGGGGAGTGGAATACTCATGCAGTCTCCAAGCGCTGCCTCACAGATTGTCATATTAGCTGTGTAGGAGAAAAGGCACCTTACAATGGAGAGAGATGACAGACTCTGCCCTAACAAACTGATCCAGTAAGGGGATAAAACCAATATTATGTGCCTCCTGATTCAGTGCATCAACATCACCTATCATGTAGTAACATAATATACACTTAATACATACTGTGTTGTTGTGTGAACCTCGAGTTGATTCCAACTCATAGTGACCCTATAGGACAGAGTAGAACTGACCTATGGGGTTTTCTAGGCTGTAATCTTATGGGAAAGATTGCAAGGTCTTTTGTGGAGCAGCTGGTTGGTTTGAACCTCCAGCCTTATGGTTAGCAGCCAAGTGCTTAACCACTAAATCATTAAGCCTTTCTCCCCCTTAGTCATTAGTAGCTATTTATCAGAAAGTAAAACAAGTGTTGACGAAGATGTAGAGAAATTAGAACCCTCATTCACTGCTGGTGGGATTATAAAATGGCACAGCTACTGTGGAAAACAATTTGGTGGTTCCTCAAGAAGATGAACGTAGAAGTACCACATGAACCAGCAATTCCAATCCTAGGAATGCAAACGGAAACCGATACAGTGTTCATTGCAGCACTATTTGCAGTTGCCAAAAGGTGGAAACAACCCATGTCCGTCACCAGATGAATGGATAAACGTGATACAGCACACACACACACAATAGAATATTACTCTGCCATAAAAAGAAATAAATTTGTGATACAATACCACATGGATGAATCTTGAAAACTCTGAGTGAAATAAGTCAGTCGCAAAAGGACAAATATTGTATGATTCCATTTATATGAAATATCTAGAATAGCCAAATGCATAGAGACAAAGTTTATTAGTGGTTACAGGGT